CAGCAGGGTAAGGTTTATAATTGGGGGAAGGGTAATTACAATTCTCTTAGGCAAGAACTGGGTAACATAAATTGGGAACAGATGCTGTCAGGGAAGAGCACTATTGAAATGTGGAGATGGTTTAAAGAATGCATTCTGCGTGTGCTCGATACGTTTGTCCCTAGCAGGCAGGGAAGATGCAGTCGAGTGAGGGAGCCTTGGTTCTCGAGAGGTCAAACGACTGGTTAAGAGGAAGAAGGATGCTTATGTAAGGTTCAGGAAACAAGGAACGAAAAAGGCTCCAGAGGGATACAAGTTATCCAGGAAGGAGCTGAAGAAGGAGCTAAGGAGAGCTATAAGGGGGCAGGTGAAAACCTTTGTAGATAGGATCAAGGAAAACTCCAAGGCTTTTTACACGTATGTGAGGAACAAGAGAATGACCAGAGAAAGGGTAGGGCCGATCAAGGATTGTAAAGGGAATTTATGCATGGAGCCTAAAGACATAGGAGAGGTCCTTAATGAATACTTTTCTTCAGTGTTCACAACTGAGAGGGACCTAGTTGTAGAGGAGGACAGTGTGAAACAGGCTGGTAGGTTTGAGGAGGTCGATGTTAGTAAGGGAGATGTGCTAGGAAGTTGAAGACAGATAAGTCCCCCGGGCCTGATGGGATTCATCCAAGGATTCTATGGGAAGCGAGCGAAGAAATCGCAGGGCCTTTGGCGATGATCTTTTCGTCCTCGCTGTCCACTGGTATAGTGCCGGAAGATTGGAGAGAGGCAAACGTCATTCCCTTGTTCAAAAAAAGGGAATAGGGATAACCCCGGAAATTATAGGCCACTTAGTCTTACGTCAGTGGTGGGCAAATTATTGGAAAGGGCTCTGAGAGATTGGATTTATGATCACTTGGAAAGGCACAGTTTGATTCGTGATAGTCAGCATGGATTTGTGAGGGGTAGATCATGCCTCACAAACCTTATTGAATTCTTTGAAGAGGTGACCAAACACGTGGATGAAGGTAGAGCGGTGGATTTGGTATATATGGATTTAAGTAAGGTGTTTGATAAGGTTCCCCATGGTAGGCTCATGCAGAAGGTAAGGAGACATGGGACAGGGGGAAATGTGGCAGATTGGATTCAGAATTGGCTGACCCTTAGAAGACAAAGGGTGGTAGTGGATGGAAAATATTCAACACGGTGCTCAGTTACGAGTGGTGTACCACAAGGATCTGTCCTGGGTCCTCTTCTATTTGTGGTTTTTGTAAATGATTTGGATGAAGGAGTGGAAGGGTGGATTAGCAGGTTCGCGGACGATACAAAGGTTGGTCGTGTTGTGGACAGTGCGGAGGGCTGTTCTAGGTTACAAAGGGACATTGATAGGATGCAGAGCTGGGCTAAGAAGTGGCAGATGGAGTTTAACCCTGAAAAGTGTGAGGTGATTCATTTTGGAAGGAGAAACTTGAAAGCAGAATGCAGGGTTAACGGAAAGATGCTTGGCAGTGCGGAGGAGCAGAGGGATCTTGAGGTTCATGTTCATAGTTCCCTGAAAGCTGCCACCCAGGTGGATAGAGTTGTTAAGAAGGTGTATGGTGTGTTAGCTTTCATTATTAGAGGGTCTGAGTTCAAGAGCCGTGAAGTTATGCTCCAGCTATACAAAACCCTGGTTCGGCCACGACTGGAGTATTGTGTCCAGTTCTGGTCGCCTCGTTACAAGAAAGATGTGGAAGCGTTGGAAAAGGTGCAGAGGAGATTTACCAGGATGTTGCCTGGAACGGAGGGAAGGCCTTACAAGGAAAGGTTGAGAGAGCTAGGGCTTTTCTCTTTAGAATGACGAAGGATGAGAGGTGACTTGATAGAGGTGTACAAAATGATCAGAGGTATAGATAGAGTAGACAGCCAGAGACTTTTTCCTAGGGTGGAGGTAGTTATTACAAGCGGGCATGGTTTTAGAGTGAGTGGAGGTAGATATAGGGGAGACGTCAGAGGTAGGTTCTTTACTCAGAGTGGTCGGGGCGTGGAATGCATTACCAGAGAGGGTAGTGGAGTCGGCCTCATTAGGGGCATTTAAGCGGCTATTGGATAGGCATATGGATGATAGTATAAGGTCGGAGTGGAGGTTAGATAGACCTTAGGTTTAGGCTAAAAGTTCGGCACAACATCGTGGGCCGAAGGGCCTGTACTGTGCTGTACTGTTCTATGTTCTATAATTACAGTGTCCAGTTCTGGTCATCCAGTTATAGGAAGGATATTATACTGGAGAGGGTTCCGATGAGATTTATCAGGGTATTGCTGGGTATGGAAGGTTTGAGTTATAAAGAAAGGCTGAGATTTTTTTCACTGGAGTGTTGGAGTTTGAGTGGTGACTTTATAGAAGTTTATAAAATCATGAGGGATATAGATAGAGTTAACAGTAGTTGTGTTCCCTCTAGGATGAAGGATTTCAAGACTGGGGGACCCATTTTTCAGGTGAGAGGAGAGAAATTTAAAATAGCCGTGAGGGGCAATTTTTTGTACACAAAGGGTGGTTTGCATATGGATTGAACTTACTGAGGAATTGGTGGATGTGGGTATAATTAAAACGTTTAAAAGACACTTGGATAAGTACATGAATAGGAAAGGTTTGCAGGGAGCAGGCAGGTGGTACGAGTTTAGTTTGGGATTATGGCCAGCATTGACTGGTTGGACCGAAGGGTCTGTGTCTGTGCTGTATGACTGTCTGGTCCTAGACTGTCTGAAACTACTTTTCTGCATCTAAGTCCCCTAAGAACCTTCGATAACAAGGTGTAGAGCTGGATGAACACAGCAGGCCAAGCAGCATCATAGGAGCAGGAAGGCTGACGTTTCGGGCCTGGACCCTTCATCAGAAATGGGGGAGGGGAAGGGGGTTCTGAAATAAATAGGGAAAGAGGGGGAGGCGGATAGAGGATAGGTGGAGAGGAAACAGACAGGTCAAAGAGGCGGGGATGGAGCCAATAAAGGTGAGTGTAGGTGGGGAGGTAGGGAGGAGATAGGTCAGTCCAGGGAGGACAGACAAGTCAAGGGGGTGGGACGAGGTTAGTAGGTAGGAGATGGGGGTGGGGCTTGAGGTGGGAGGAGGGGATAGGTGGGAGGAAGAACAGGTTAGGGAGGCGGGAACGAGCTGGGCTGGTTTTGGGATGCGGTAGGGGGAGGGGAGATTTTGAAGCTTGTGAAATCCACATTGATACCATTGGGCTGCAGGGTTCCCAAGCAGAATGAGTTGTCCGTCCTCCCTGGACTGACCTATCTCCTCCCTACCTCCCCACCGACACTCACCTTTACTGGTTCCATCCCCGCCTCTTTGACCTATCTGTTTCCTCTCCACCTGTCTTCTCCTCTATCCATCTTCTATCCACCTCCCCTCTCTCCCTATTTATTTCACAACCCCTTCCCCTCCCCCATTTCTGAAGAAGGGTCTAGGCCCGAAACGTCAGCCTTCCTGCTCCTATGATGCTGCTTGGCCTGCTGTGTTCATCCAGCTCTACACCTTGTTATCTCAGATTTTCCAGCATCTGCAGTTCCTACTACCCCTAAGAACCTTGTTTATTTCAATAAAATAACTCGATCCAAACTGTGTTGCAATATTACATTGTTCGAGATATTGTCCTCTAGTTTAAGATGGTAAATAATGGGTTGGATTTTCTGAGGAATGGTAATTCCTCGCTCCTTGTTTTTGTGCAACAAAAGGCCTCTGCATTTCTGGCAGAAGATATTAATCGGGACTCCTTCAGAAATGCAGATTCATACTTCCATTCTGATAGGTCCATCAAAGCATAGAACAAGTATGATAGATAAACAATGCTCCCTTTTTCACAGGAGGCAGTTGCCATATTCTGAAATTTGCAGCTCTTACATCTCTCTGTCACTTTGATAGCTGCTGTACAATGTTCAGTAAACAAGCATGAGGTTTGGGTGCCAGGCAGGTAACCGGCAGGGTGTTAAATGAGTCAGGTGGGTGATGGAGTGCTTCAGGTCAATTGGTGGAATGCTGAGAGATATCAGGTCCGGAGAGCGGGACTATCCAAGCCAGTATCTTATCTGTCTATTTCAGTGGTGCAAGTAAATATTAATGATCTTGGGAAGAAACAGTAAAAAAAACATGCATTTATATCACGTCTTTTTTGCCCAACAGATGTTTTAAAATGTTTGTAGAATCCTAGAATCCTTACAGTGTGGAAGCAGGCCATTCGGCCCATCACCAACCTTCCGGAGAGCATCCCACCCAGACCCACCCCACTTCTCTAAAAGGCAGTGGTCTTGCTACTGACCCCTGGAGGACACTGCTGTGATCTCTAGAATCCTAATCCTTATGCTCCAGAAGCATTCTGCCAATTGCTTTGACATGCAATAAATTAATTTGGAAGTTCACTACCCCCCACACAGGACTGTTTTCACTTTTGACAGTTATGAAGTAATATCAGTAATATTTGGTATTTGAATCTGGCTACACTTCTGTGCCACCTGCTCTGATTTTTAAATGGATTATGATAATTGTTTTTAAACTGTCAATGCGTTAAATGAACTGTTATTCTCAATTTCTGTAATATATTTAGCCAATATAGTGAAGTGATCCTCCTTTTTATATTATTTTTAAAATCAGGAATATTATGATCTGCCCTTGTCCTCCACAAGTTAAATGTAGCTCCTTGATTACTGCATAATACCATGTTGTATGATTACTGCCAGCAAATGCAGAATATCTTATCATAGTTAGGTTTCTTTATGTTGCTAATAACATATAACCAGACTGTGCTATTTCCTCATCAGCGTAAGGTGCGAAAAATGCTTAATTGATTTGTAATGATGATTTGGTATGTTTGCTATCTAATGCGTTACAAGATGCTGTTCAGGGTTAGTGATTTTAATGTATAAATTTACTGTTAACGTCTTTGTTCCTTTTATTCCTCAAAAAAGTCATTGTAAGTATTTGTGACAGAGGTTGCAGCAAATGCATAACAAACATGTAGATTCCATCACTGATCAACTACTTATTGTATTTCGTTCAGGTGATGTACCTTCATTCAACAACAATTTGAACAATCCACAGTTAAGTCGTCTCCAGACCTTAATCAATAGCAATCAGATGTTTCCTCAGAATCATCAACTTTTACAAGGTCTGCAAGGGACTCGGGGCCTTCAGGGGTTTCAAGGTCCTTCTTCATTTTCTGGACCCAGTAACACTCAAAACCCTATGGCATGCGTTTTTCAAAACTTTCAGGTAAGCATGTACACATCCTGTTTTAATTTTGCATCTGCCAATGACTGAAATGCTGCATTTTTCAACTATCACATGAGATATGTTCTTCAATAGAAATGAATAGGAAGCATTTTATTTGTGTTTGATATCATTATATCTCCCTGCTGACATTCACCTTGAAGAGAGGTAGGAAGCAAGTCAAGAAGTAGGACCTTTAAAGCAGATACCAGTGCCATGTGATAACACAGTGTAGAGCAGGAAAGCTGACGTTTCAGGTTGGGACCTTTTCCCAGACCTGCAAAGGAAGTTATAACTCCACCAGTGCCATGTGCTGGTTATTAGTAGAAATAACAGGTCAATCAGATGAATATGTGGCTGGAGAGATGTCACAAGGAGGGAAAGTTTCAGATTTCTGGGACATTGGGACCAATTCCGAGGGAAGTGTGACCGGTGCAAGCTGGACAGGTTACGGCTGTGCAGGATCAGAACTGATGTCCGAGGGGGAGTATTTGCTGGTGCGGTTCAGGAGTGTTTAAATTAAAATGGAAGGGAGTTGGGAACCTGCACAGGGAGACAGAAGAGAAAGAAACTAGGGAAAAAAACAAAAAAAAATGGGGAATGAGAAAAGTGATGGATGGAGAATTCAAGTGCAAGAATCAAACAGGGCACAGCGCAAAATAATGCGAATGGGACTAAATGTTAAAAAGACAAGCCTTAAGGCTTTGTGTCTTAATGCCTGGCGTATTCGCAGTAAAGTGAATCAGTTAGTTGCTCAAATAGATATAAACATCATCTCATTGTTCAATGTGGGACTATCACGTATGGGAAAGACATAAGTTGAAACCCTTCAATTTATTCTTTCTTCGCTTTTACAGAATAAAACTGACAAAAGCTGCATTTGCTTCTGGCAGCAGATGGGAGCCACTTGCCTTTTGAGAAGCAATAAATTTACAATTCTTGCATGCTCACTGTACCTAGCTCACATGTATTGAACTCAGTGTCAGTTAATTCTGTGTGGTTTGTTGCACCCAGCACTATGGCATGCTAGCGTACAGAAGCTGCGGTTTCTCCTGCTCAATGTCCTCATCTTCCTGCTCAGAACTGGTGCCATTCTCTTGCTGTTCAGAGTCCATCAGACATCCTCATTGCTTGGTCCACTTGTACAAAGCACAGCATGCTTTCATTGATATCTTCATTTGCCAACATTACCTAGTGAGCCCCAGGCCTATAACCAAGCCATTTCAATCATCATGTTACATTGTCATCCTCGCTCCATCTAAATCAGAATATTTATGATCATCAATGATCTCCTCCCACCCACAGTAACCCATGTCCTCCAATGCACAATAGTCTTCCACCATTATATAGTCACTTCCCTCACTTCACAATTATGTGTGCCCATTTGCATTGAGCACATGGTAGGACTGACCAGGGCACAACCCCACCAATCCATTTTGAGCAGACATATAAACTTATTAGTGACCAGGTTCCTAACTGATCTTTCTACAGTGCCCAACTGGCTGACTGCAAATTTCCCTAACTGGTTGAACTGGACCAAGCTGACTGTGGCCCAATCCTCAGACTGTTGTGATACAGAACCCCTGAGCCAAGCCGTCCCGAGGAGCCGACTGATCGCATCCTTGTCTAAGATCAACCTCTGCCCTTGACTGACTGTGGCAGTCCCCCTTGACCTGACCAAAGACTTTCTCCCCTTGAGATGCAACCCATTTGATTTGAAGTACATTATCCATGTATGCTGCTAGCAGATGCTTCAAATGTGAGGTTGATTTGGTATAATCCCATACAGCAACATGTCCACCTTCTTGACTGATCACTGCTGCCAACCATGACAAGCTGTCTGCTTGTGCGAAACAAAAAGGCACCACACAAGGTCTTTAAGCTCTGAGAAAGGTGGCAGAGCACAAAAAAGTCAAGGCAGACAGGATTTGAGAATGCAAGGAGGCACTGAGAACAAGCTAAGAGTTCTGACATTTACCTTGGTCCAATCCCTCAGGTGAGTGTTTGACCCTGTATGCAAAGTATTCTGGCAGCTGCATACATTAATGGAGATGATGCTCTACAAATTACAGCTTATAAGTGGAGAACTGTATTATAACTGAATCAGAGAAATATAATGATGTGGTGTGGCTGGTACTTGCCCATGGCTAACTGCTGTGGCCAGGGCTTCATGAAGTCACAACCAATGGAGCACGCACTGAGATGTCAGAGAGTGCTATCCAGGTTGGAGACCCAGAAGAGCAAGTGACAAACAGGCGGCGCTAGGTACTCTCTGACTTTCATGTTGGGAATTGTTGCTATCTATTTCTCTCTGGTGCATGGGAGACTGCATTTAGTGAGACAAGATTACGTACTAATGGCATATGCTTGCAAATAGGCGTCTTGCTGTTCAAAACTTTGTTGCAGAATCAATCTTTTTTTCCTCAACATTGAGAACTTCATTTCTCACTGTCATCACATTTTCCCAACTGACTGGCCATCAACCATGTCAGTCAGAAGTTGACAAAATTTATCCCAATGTGTCCATGCTGGGTCTCTGCAAGACCAGCTCAGCTGGTACCACTGCCCACATTTTCTCTGTAACCCAGTCCTTTGTTTCATTTTGGGTATCTATCAAAAGCCATGATTGAATCTGTTTTCCATCTGTTCGCAGTTAGTACATTCCAGGATCTTAGCATGCACTGCATCAGAGTTCATTCTTGTGTTAGGGTTTGTTTTATTGCCAATTATCTTGAATTAGTGTCTTCTGATTCTTGAGTATTTAACCTGCGATAGTGGTGTTTACAGAGGAAACTTGAGCTTAAATAAAGAAAATTAATATTTTCATCTGTGGGGTAGGTAAATTCTGGACATGTCAAATTGCAAAAGCTTTACTGATGAAGATATGTTTTAACTCTGCAATGGTGTAGGAAATTGAATTACCTCTCCCTGTTGAAAAAAAACAGAGAAACAAATCTTCAGAATTTATTAACTTCTCAGACCAATGCAAATATACTAAATCACTGAGAAAAAATACACAACGATTGGAGAGTATTTAATCCAAATATATCTTTAGCTGCCTTAACTATTTTGCTGAAATGACTGTTCAGATTATTTTTTGCTTTCTTCTCTTTGAAGTATAGCTTTAATTGGTTTAGTGAAATATAAAACTAATGCTTGTTTTGACAAATTACAAAAGAGAAAAATAATGTGGCTATTGATTCAAATTTCTTCCTGCAGGTGAGTCCAGCCCAAGATGTCTCACTTTCAAATGCTCCAGTAAACTCCCATCCAGGAACAATATTGCTGTCTGAGGGATCCCAAACTGCCCTTCCCCCTTTCCATGATCTGTCTGGTGACCAGCATCAAATAGAACAGGTTCAAGGTCAGCACGGCAGAGAAGAAGCCCCCACTGTGGGTCCCCATGACCCTTCTGTTGATGCTATATATAAAGCTGTGGTGGATGCTGCAAGCAAAGGAATGCAGGTTGTGATCACGACAGCGATGAGTAGTACTTCTCAAATGAGCCCAATCCCAGCCCTGAGTGCCATGAGTGCCTTTACTGCCTCCATTGCAAATCCTGTGAATCTTTCCAATGCAGTCAATGCAGTGATTCATGGGAAAAGACTTTCCAGCATGGAGATTGACAGCCGGCTCCATAGTCAAAACATCCTTGCAAGTAGACATGCCAGAGGTGTGAAATTGAGGAAAAGTACTGAACAAGCAAAAATTACTCCTGAAGGGGAAGGATTTGAGTACTTCAAATCACCAGGTCGCAACACACCTAAAAAACAATGGGAAACTGAGCAACTTGCGGCTGGCGATGCAACAGTGTGGAAATGTGAGAAATTTCTAGAACACTCGGGGCAGGTAAATCATAGTCCTTCTGTGGACAGAATACCCTCTTTTCATGGAGAGCAGACTGATGGAGTATTACAGCAGAAAAACTGCCACTTGGACAAAAGATTTCTTGAGGACAGTTTTAAGTTTAATAGTCAAAAAAGACACCTTGTTAACATTAAAGAAAGACTAGAGAATACTTTGGAAAGATGCACACACATCAATGGAAACCGGTCTCAACAGAACAGGAACTTTGGTGAGTTGCTGACAACCCCCAAACAGGAGCTTGCCATAGAGGAGCAATCTCCAAGCTCCTCGGCCAGTTTGGAGGGAATGCCAGGTTCTTTGGCACATGACTATATTCAATACAATGGAGATTATAGTTCAGAAAACATTAATGGATGTGCCCCAAGTCCGTCAGACACTAAAAGTATCAGCAGCGATGATGATTTGAAGATTCCAGATTCTCCATCTAATGAATTAATACACTATAGACCAAGGACGTTTAATGTTGGTGACTTGGTCTGGAGTCAAATAAAAGGATTTCCTTCATGGCCAGGAAAGTTGGTGAGAGAAGATGAAGTCCACAATTCCTGTCAGCAAAACTCTGAAGAGGGAAAGGTAAATAATACAGTAAGAAAAAGATTTGTACTTGTCAATTTTCACTGTGGTACATAATTGACCATGAATTTTCTGCAGTGGCCGATAGTTATAGAAAAATTGTAAAAAATAAACAAACAATTGATTTGTAAGGAGAATGTATCAAATTCAATTGATGATTTTTTAAATTTGAAACCAAGCTAACTAATGTTTCTTTTGCTGAATTTCTTTACAAAGAAAATAATAGTTGAAAAGCCTTTAATGCCTTAAATGATCCTGTTACATACCAATATCAGGAAACATTACCGCTTACTGATTGCAATTTAGGCCAAGTTAAATTTAATGCCAGCATTTGTTGTTTAGCATATATCAAATGTAAAGTTATTAAATATTTATTTACTCTTTTTATGTACCAAAAATGGAAGAATAATAACGCTGATAACTTTGAATTGCATATGAACCTTTTAACAAGAAAATATCTCAAGAAATTCACAGAAAGCAAATGGAACGCACACAGCAAAAACTCAAAAATGAATAAAAGCTAATAGCAAAAATGTTTTGAAAGGAAGAGTATGTTTTTACAAGGGCACCCTGAAAACAAAGGTCCAAGACTATTCAAGAGATAGTAAGAACTGCCGATGTTGGAGTCAGAGATAACACAGTATGGAGCTGGAGGAACGCAGCAGATCAGACTGTTGAAGGCTCTGCAAGTAGTGCGGCAGTGGCGGAGAATACATTGATCAGGGGCATTTCACTGAGTGCCACAGATTACAATTTAGGTCCAGGTGGTGAAGGGATGTATAAAGAGGATTTTGAATTCAATGCATCAGGAATGGATAGTTTGACAAGGACAAAAATCAAAGACAAGCAAAAGTAAACGCAGAGCATGGCAGGTAGTGACATTGAAGTTTTGGTCAAGCTATCAAGGGGAGTGTATATGAACAGTTTAGTCTGAAGTAATAAAAGCAAGTGTAAGAGTTTTGGTAGTAATGAAAGTGGTGGGTGATGCTGCAGAAGTGGGGAAAGGAAGTCTTGTTTGTCCAAAGATTGTGTACTATCAGTTTTAATTTCAGCAAGGAAAGGAATAAAGTTGCAGTAAGTGTGGAGATTGTGGATGAATGGGGGCTTCATAATTTGTGGAAGTTCCAACTGATTCGTGGCTTAATGTTGGATAATCTGAAAATCAAGGTGTGACACTTCTGGTAGTTGGGAGATTTTGTCAGTTGCAACTAACCTATGTATAAATAGTGACCCTTCCCTATGGATATTTTAATTGAGAAACAACTTGTAAATGAGAAGTAGAGAGGACTCAGGATAAAAGTTTGCAGTGCACCAGAAGTAACCATGTAGGACTGGCTGGAGGAGTTATTACTGTTGCTGGGCAACCTTCATTTCGTCCTAGAAAGTGATGATGATCTTCCTTCTTAAATCACTACAAGCCATGGTTGCAATTAGGAGGGAGTTCAGGATTACAATATCGCAATGGTGAGAAATGTTCTATGGAGCACCATGAAACAAAGGCCACAGAAGAGGATAGGTGATCAACTATATCAAATGCAACAGAAAGTCAGTAAAATTACACTATGGGTGATTCCACCAGCATAGTTTAATTGACGTGAATGGAGCTGAGGCTAATGAAAAGAATTCAAATAGGTAATTATGGCACACATAAATCTGTGTTTAAGAGTTGGGAAGAGAAAGAAAAAAACAGATATGCATCAATAGGTTGAAAAGACAAGAGCTCAAACTTAACGTGAAAATAATTAAGATTAACAATTCTTGAGAAAGAAAGAGTACTTCCAAAGGGAACCATAAACAATTTAAATAAGCATTAAGCATTCAGAGAAGGGGCATGAGTGAGCAGCCTAAAGTCGATCATGGAATAGATTGGAGAAATAGGAAGTACGTACTTAGAATTTTTCACTGTAGTATTCATTACAGTGATAGTAGGAATTTAATAAATGTAGTGCATATGCATTCTCAAAAGGCATTCAATAATGTGGCCTATACAAAGCTTGGTAGAAAAATTCAGTTGCATGGTAAAATATGAAATGTAGAAAATGTAGGCAGGTGACTACCTAAAGATGTAGGCTAAATCACTGCTGTTCAGATTGAGTGAGAGTTCTAAGTGGTTTAACGTCTACTTTTAGTCTCAATATGTATGTGTGTGTCAATATACCTAGGTGATTTATATATCTAGATTTGGATGCCAATATAAAGAGGGGAATGCTCAAAGAAGTAATTCATTGATACAAAGCATTTGTTGAATGCTTTTATCATGTGTGCAGTTCTGACTGCTAATAAATCTTAGCTCTAAAAGCTCCAAATCTGAGGAAGCAGCATTTGGAATTATATTAGGGAAATCGTGAGAGACCATGATTATATTTGTGAAGAGGAAAGCATAAAAGGCAGAGCAAAGAAACATAGAGTATGTTGATAAAGGTAACAAAGGTGTTACTGGAGGCTGGCCAGATGGGAGAAAAATGACTGTTGAGGTTGGTTGGTTCGCCGAGCTGGTTTGTTGTTCTGCAGACTTTTGAAGGGCTATGGGATCAAGAATTAATAGAACACCACAGAAAAGAAAGTTGGTTT